ATGTTTCCTAGTGCCAAACGTAAGGTCAGACGCTAGTCCATCACGTGCATTCCCAATGCGTCCGTCGTCATCGGTGGCTGCCAAGACAGGCACCGCCGTCCCATGACACCGCTCTTCATCCTCTCTTGCCTCGTCTCTTATCTGTACCTCTGGTGATTCTTCGTCCGTCAATACTTTCTCGAATATACTTCATATTAGCTTAGCTAGTCCTTCGCTATTACTTGATTCTTATACGCAACGAAAGCTGCTGCTTTGTGTCCTCTTTGCGACCATGAAGCTCTTATCAACCGCCGCTACATTCCTCCTTTGCGTCGCCCCCTTCTCTACCGCCCGGTCTTTGGACTTCTTCAACTCTCAAACCCCCATCAAAGCAGAGAATGAGGCTGTGAAGGGCGATAACCCTCTGGTGTACTGCAATAATCCTTCAAACTATATTCTGCAAATAGAGCGTGTGGACCTCACGCCTAACCCTCCTCTGCCGTACGCTTCAATTAGCCTGCCTTCCCCGAACCGGATCGCATACTGATCGCTCTATAGTGGAAAGACACTCACCATCCAAGCTACGGGTACTTTGAATGAGAAGATTGAACAGGGGGCTTATGTGAATTTGGAAGTCAAATATGGCCTGATTACTCTGGTCAGGCAGACGGCCGACCTGTGTGAGCAGATCGTCAATGTTGACCTCGAATGTCCTCTGGAGAAGGGCGAGATGACCTTGACTAAACAAGTTGAGCTGCCCAGACAGATCCCTCCGGTATGTGATTCCCTATGCTATACCGCTATCGATATCGAGATTAACCAGGTCATGATCAATCAACAGGGCAAGTACACTGTGCATGCCGACGTTTACACCAAAGACGATAAGCATGTTACCTGCCTTGAGGCGCATAACATCGAGTTCAAGGCGGGCTTTATCTGAAAGCTGACTCGGTGCTTCTGGGTCCATGGCCGCAATGCCTACTTCGCGTTGTTGACGCTGGATGTCCTTGCGTTCTATTGCCTATAACGAGCTGACGTTACACTTGCATATGTTCTGGTTTTGTTTCTCTGCTTTCCTCTACTTAAGTCCGCCTTCATCCTCAAGCCTTACAGTGACATGCCAATGTTTACGAAAGCCATGCCACGCTCTACGACTGTTGCTAACCTTTCGTTGCACTACGTCTTCAACGGTGTTCTGGGTCTTGGTTTAGTGCCACATATTGTAGTCCATCCTTATCATTGTTCTTATAACTCGTGGCCTCCTTTCACTGGCATTAATCAGCATCTGTACTAAAATGCATTCGAAACATTGATCTCATTGACAGCATAGTCTAATGAAACGTACAGGTAGCCAGGCTTAGTGACCAGCGTATCGAACAACAACCCAGAATGGCTGCTGTGAACTTGGTGTTATCATGCATAAGTGATATGATTGGGTATCTTCCCCTCCGCCTTCGAGCTAACGCTCATTCCATGTGTATACTTCCGCGAAACGGCAAACAAGAGACTGTGCAATGAGTTAACACCACCAGATGGTAATACATATGAAACCTCAAATCGAAATGAACAGCGCGCTATCTCTACTCTCCAAACAGCCGTCGCACCCGCTTGAGTACACTATCCTTTTCAGGGTCATATGGGTGGTCCTTGCTCGGGATCTCGAGAACGGCAGGGAAAGCCTCGGCGTAGGAATCGACGCTGTGCCGGATACGCTCTGCAATCTATATCCAATTGTAAGCGGCCGTATGAAAGCACTCAAATAATTGTATAATACGCAGGCGTCGCAGGTTAGGGACACTGCGAAGTTGTAACAAGACACATACATGCTGGTTGATAAGGACAATGGCGATATCTTTCCTCTCCTGAGTGAAGTTCTGGAACGCTTTCTCGATCGTGGCAGTCTCAGTCTTCGAGTCTACCACAAGGAAGTTTCGCTGGGCATCTGCGCCATCCGTGACATGCTTCAATGTATCATGTTAGTTGTGGTCGCATGTTTGTCGTTATCTGGCTGTTGTGCTTTGAGGATACGTACACCGACACCGGCAAGGAGGAGGCCTGTTACGGAGCTGGAAATAAACAGTCAGCGGAAGTGCCTCTCTCATCAGGTAGTAGTGGTGTGGCTCACTCTTCATCTCCTATGACCGCAAGGAACTGCCGGTCCTAGATGTGGTGTATATGGTTAGTGACTGCTGTCAATGAGGAGGGGAAACCTCGGGATATTACCTTGTATGATACGGCCGGAGCCGCCATGGTTCAGGAAACAGGGAAGAAGCGGGCGTAAAGACTGTAAACTGCTTATATACTGGCGAAGTTCAGCGGCTGGAATTAGCTCGCGTTGCCCTGAGCCGATATACGAAGGTAAATATGTCCCTGGCGAGTCTGGCATCCCGACTCTCTTGCGGGAGACGTCGTCATAACGGCACCGGCGCCGCTTATCTAAGCCGGGGCCGCTCTCCACCCTTTGTTGTTGACAAGCGGAAAAGGAAAACTTCGGCTTCAAACTATCGCATTCACCAAAGGTTAGTCTCGGGTTTTCTGTATCTTGGTGCTATATCTGCGGAATATGGTTCTAATACTTGTTTTCTGATTATCCAGCATTCCGCGTCGCCAAAGTCACCATGCCCCGGCTTGTCCGTCGCCGACCATTGACGGAGCGCATCAAGTCCTACTTGAATCCTCTGGACTTTCTCTTGTGGCTGTCGGAGGAGATCGATACTCATGACTGGGACCAGTTTGAGAAGAACTGGGCGCTCCCCCTGGGGATAGCTCTGAATGTTGTCTTTTTGATCGCCAGGGCCAATAGTCAATCATACAGCAGTCAAGCCATAGATGATGTCTTTGGCGATGATGGAAGCACTCCATGGCTCAGTTGGTTTGTATGTGACGCCGAATCGACTTTGACTTTGCCTTGAATATACGCTCCATGTGCTGCATTGCTAACGCAACGGGTGATAGTCTTCCTTCATCGTCCACCTCCTCACCACCTTTACCGCGTTCAACGCCTTCTATACATTTTACCGGAAGCGACACTATCGCATGTTTGAAGCATCGATCGATCAGGCTCCTGCAACTCCCTCCGCTCATCGAGTCCGCGTTAATTCGACTCCTGTAACCGCTTCGCCACTGAAATATCTGGCGGATACGATAGCCAGATCAGCCCAGTCGAGAGCCCACCCAGACGCACAGCGAGATGTATGGGAACTTGCCGTCTGGGACCCTCTACCTATTTGCATTCGATTGTTCTGCCTCTTCAGTCCTGGACATGTCTTAGTATACTGGGTTTTCCTGCCCACCCAGCTATCCGATCCCCGACCAAGTGTGACTATTGTGACCACCATCTTCATAGCGGCACTCCTCTCGGTACAGATGACGTTCCTTTCCTCGTCCTATACCCAGCAAGCGAAGGATTCAATGGTGGTTCATAAGGAGGTGCTTCGTGAATACGACACCAAATACGTTCACCCTCGTACCCAGCCTCTGATGAGAGACGTGGCCACTCAGTTCTCCGAGTCCGATCCCGATGTTAAGCAGAATAAGGTTGATACCTTCACGCCCACTGTCGTACTTCATAGAGGCTTCAAGACGAGCCCAAATCCCAATTACGTCAGCCATGTGGACCCCGAGGGCCGCTCTTCCGTGCGCCAGTCCTTTGCAGCGACACCTACTGGAGTGTCTCATCGTGCAGCCGCGTTGCAGACCCCGAGCCATCTGCGAGATGCTTCCCCTATTGTGCGAAGCTCGATCTCTGCAATTCGCCAGCCTCAGTTCCGGCAGACACCGACGACTACAGGTGATGGTGGAAGCCTTGGCATTTACTCGCATGCCAACTCGCCTCTGAAGAAGTCTACACCAGCCAATCTTGAACGTCGTCTTCAGAGCAATGGTGACTTCTTTTACAAAGAACGGGGAACAAGTGCGATGAGAAGGCCATCTAGTCCCCTCAAAAGAAGTAATGTCCCCGCAGGCAGTCCCTTAACTCCGGGACCGAGGCGGAGTCAAGTGGACGCACGCCGCGACAGTGGACGGTTTTAGCCTGAGTTGTTTGATTAAGGCGTCATGCGCCAATCATAACAGTAGCATGGAAGGAGTAACTCATGTATAGTATGCTATAACATCATACCGGCGTTGTCATCAGGTCATCATTGAGACTGTGTACCACTTGTGACCGTGGACTTCTTTTGGAGCATCGGGTGCGGCGTTAAATCATCCAAGCTTATGAACCCCTGTTTCTCATTAAAACCTTTTGTCTATTGTCTTTTGACTTCCCTTTGGCCATTGTACGACTACCTTGGACTTTCTCTTTGAAAATAATGGGTGCCCGGGTTCATTTGGGAATGTAGGCTGGGGTCTACTGATGGCTGATAGTGATCCAGCCGCTGAGCAACATGCTTAATGCGAGGCTGGACGACTATAACCTAACGGATTTCAGTTCCGCTTTCAAGCCGGTTCTACATCGGCGCAGCTTTGACCGTCCTTAATGGCATACTTTATGTCGCCGGCAGCATCTGATTACTGACTGCTTATGATTGCACCTTTACGTTCGTGAACCTGTGGCGTTCGCTGTTTCCACACTAGGAATTCGCAGGTGACAAATGGAAGCAGCAAGTTCAGCTGCGTGATGCTTGCAGTTTCCATGCCGAACTATGTCACAGGTCCAGGCCTACATTCCATGGTGGCCTCTATCCGCCCGTTGCTACATTCCTAATAGTGGCCAGCCCTGGCGCACTATACATTCCACCCCTTATCATTACATACATTATCCCTGCCCTACCACGCGGAACGCGCCCAGTGATGGGGTTGCCCTGCCAGCTTTCTTTCCAGACCCCTGTCGCGTTCCGATGAAACCACATCCACGACCAAACGCCCAACGCCTGCACGGGCGTGATTTTGCACACACTCGCCCGGAGAAGAAGAGCATTGAGAGATATTCCAGCGCTGGTGGAGGAATGGGTCATTGTTTTGACACTGTCTGGCTTTAAGGTCGAAGCTGCTTGGGCTGCAGCAGTCTTGAACGGGTGAAAATGGAGGAATTCTTGCATCTACCAAATGGACATCTGCTAAATCTTCAGCCTCGACCCCGCCACGGCAAGCGGACAAGAGTCAGTAACGAGGTATTAACGCCCACGCGAGTGCAAGAAACTACGCCCAAACCCGACGAGCGTCTCAAGTTCAGAGGCAAAGACAGCACCAGCGCTTCGCCTGACACGGCTCCGCGAAAGAAGACCCCTACCAAATTACCCCTTCCCAAGTCTCTTACCGACAAGGAGAAACAGCAGCCAAAGGAGCAACCCGCCACTTCTGAACAGAAAGGGCATCGCGCAGATAGAGTTCTTCAGCCGAAGAGGTCGTTTGGAGCACTGCAGCGTTCATCCCCCAAGAAGACAGACAACGATCGCGACCAATACTGGCGCAAAGTGAAGGATAGGTTTGAGAAAGATATTCCCGGAGCATCTTTCAGTAAAGAGAAACCGAAGGAATACTACCAGGAGGCCTACCGAAAGATAGTTTCACTAGCCAACTCTCCAAGACAGGAGATTGCCAAACAGAAGCAGAAATTGGCGGGAGGGGTGCCTCGGGGCGACAAAACAGTTCTCCAAGGTCCAAGCCCTCCAACAAAGATTCCGAATTCGAACGACATTCGAACAAGTTTTGGGCGCACTGCGAGAGAAGGGGGAGCAGGATCCTCTACTGGTCAAAGAAAGCGTCCGATCAATGTAAACCAACGAACGCACCTGAACTTCAGCAGCTCCACACCAGCAATATCGTCTGAGAGACCAGACACTAACACCGACTCCTCCGAACACTCACATCCCTCAGTTTCACCCATATCCGCTCCGTCCAGCTCCTTAACCGAGTGGGAAGACAAGTTTGTTGTTAATATGCCAACGGCTAAGGAGCCAAATCCGCCGATCATGACTACTCAACAAATCTCCGATTTTCAGCAAAGCATTGAGAAAGTCCACAAGGAAGGCGGGGCGATGCTAGATCCAGACACTCCCAAGCCCGCGTACCAGAACCCCCGAGGATAGCACCAGCAATCCTCCTGGGCAAGAAAAGACTTCGACGGGCCTTGATGGTCAAGATTCACGTGTCGGCCGCCCCACTGAAGTCAGTGATTCCAATTGTTCATCAGGACACCGCCGCTATTATAGCCCAGAGGAAGTCGGAAAGCAACGGTTCAGCACAATATGGGAAGAGGGCCCTGCAAAATCGGTGAACAAGACCCCCGCTGCAAACCCAGATGGTTCTTTTTTAGGGTGCAAGGAGATCAACGGGCCTTACGACAAAAATCCGGACGAGATTCTGCTCTTCTCTATGACGGACGAGCGCCCCAGAATGATAGACATCCCGTCCGGACGATCCAAGGTGTCGAAGGAAGGGAAGCGAATCACCAGCAACCGTGCAACGTCGACATCTCCGGAGAAAGCTGTCGTTCAAGAAGAATGGAAACCAATTTCTCGGAATTTGAAACAAGCCCAATGCTCGAAGCCCTTGCCCAAGACAATGTGTCAAGAGGCAAAGTGCCGCCTGCCGGACCAGACGGAGGTCTCTGCCAAAGCGTCTATGACGGAGAACCTGGATCCATCAGCAAACACAACCAAGCAGCACGACAAGCAGAAGTTGGGCCGCAAGTCGGACGATGTTTTCATTATCACACCCACTATCACACGCACTATGGTGACCATGGCAGACTTGAGAAGCAGCCCAAAGAATACAGACGCGCAGGAGCCCACCTCTCGCGCCGCGGGAGAGATAATATCGGACTCACGAGTAAAGCAGACACTGAGCAGTTCAGCATCAGGCTTGCGAAGGGCTACCCAAAACTCTTGGGAAAAGTCAAATACGCCATGCGCAGTATCTTCAACTGCAGTCCCTCCTACCAATACACATCCCACCCCCAAAAGTCGAACAGAAGCCGACCGTACCTCTCCGCAAAGACCCCGCGCTATTCGTGGGTTCATCCGTACGCAAGGACTGCCCAAGTCCAAAACAGAAATATCCGGCGAGCCAGTGTGCAATAATCAGCAGAAGCCTTACATTGCTAGTGTATCGCCTAAAAGAGGCAACGCACACTCATTGAAGAGCGCGTCGGATACGACACTCGTTGAGAAACCGTCAACTCCCGAGGCAATTTCTCCTACGGCCTCGATTAGCAAAGATAGGGTTAGACAGGACAGCGTTATGCAAGAGGCTGGACCTATTGAAGTTGCTGAACTGGATGGGCAACAAGTGTCTGACACAGCAAAAGAGTTGTTCTACTCTAAGATTACTGATTTTAACACTGATCTACATTGCAACGGTTTACCTACCCACAACAAGGAAGCGCCAAGTCAGGAGATAATGGGCTATGTCAGGGATGCTCTTATAGAGCTCACCGGACAGCTGCAAGGTCTCTATGATGAAATCATGGCCAACCGGCATTCCCGGGCTATGCTAGTGAAGATCACCTTCAATAATGTATTGAAAATGATCGAGCACTGCTTGCATGTCCTCAAAGATCTCCTGGGAATCCTGGCCCTCTACAATACGACAGGGTCCTGGCCAAAACCCACCCGCGAGGATTTCGCTCGGTCATTGATTGATCTCTGCAAGGCTATGGTCTACCTCATTGCGCTCGGGTTTGTCATGATGGTCATAGGCCGAGCAGCCGGGTATGTAGTCCTTGTTGGCAGTTGGATTGTGTGGTTTGCAAGGCCCTTCGCATGGTTACTGGGGGCATTAGGAAGGGCTCTCTTGGTATAAGCTGGTCTGTCCATGGGTTAGTTGGTTTGGTTGTTGATATAAAGCGGCCTTGGCTCAGGTTATGCTAAGGTAACACCTGCTCTGCTTGTTCGCTTTCATTTCTTTCAAGCGTGACGGGGAAGCACATGACGTTCCTGCTTAACCTTGTGTCAATGTTGGTTGGTTATCATGTATCATGTTTCCAAGTATTTTTAACGTAATGCGGTGTATCCATTATTACCTCCTGTACCTAGTCTAGTCTAGCGACTCGTTGAATGTTAAATGAAATGCATATTGCCTGATGTTTGTTTCCCTTCCATAGAGATAGAATGTAATCTGCCCTCGAATGATGATTAAGCCACCTTCACTGACTACGTTAGTAGTTACTTGAGTTTAATACCACATCTATCCTTAACAGATTTGAATGCATAGCTATATCTCATACTCACTTTGACGCATCAAGCTCTACCAATTCTATTCCAAAGTAAGAGGAGAGAAATATGAAAAGGGGAAGAAATCATGCTTCTATTGACTCATAGGAAATGCTAGGCATTATAATACTCGCCTAGCCAACACCTGTATTTCACCACCGCCATCACCACGACAACAAGAATGCAAAGATGTTGAATGCAAAGAGAAATTATGAGAGAAAAAACCCGGATATATAAGATAAAATGCAAAGAAGGAGGAAAAAGAGAGTTGATTAAGTAGAGAGGCCAAGAAGGGAAGAAAAGTATCAAATGCTCCATTTAGAAGAAGACTCCGTTCCAAATCCCATGTTGAAGAGGATCACTTTTTGTTGAAATGCATAAGCCCAACTCCGTCATCCATAGTGTGTTGAAGATCGTAAATACCCCCGAGAATTTATTTTCTGTAAGCCGTCTCTGTTGATAGAGTTGAAGAACAAAGAGAGAGATAGAAATGTTGAGATAGGAGGCCCTTTTCTTTTCCGGAGAAGAGCTTTATCATGAATAGATGAAAATATTGTTGAAGATGTATTTCTTTTTTCCCATGCTCGATGGGTTGCGAAAGCAAAAATCCGAGAATTGGGGGGTGGGGGTATAAATTTGGAAGGTGAAGATGTCATGTTGAAATAGAATAAACGCTCAGGGAAGAAATCGTTGAGAGGTCTTCATGGTCGTGCCGCCGTAAAACGTTGCAAAAGCCCGGGAGTGTTCATTCGGGCAGGTAATCGTTGAGGTTGAGATGTTGAATTAATAATATATGTTGAATTAGGAAGTCGTAAGTGAGGTTGAAGAAAGGCATATAGTAAATGGCGGACTGTCCCCACGGGGGCTGCAGGAGCCACATCTAGTTTTTCACTGCAAGTTCCGGAGCTGCTCCGTCAGTCGCGCCATTGGTCGTTCCGTTTGTTGCTCCGTTCGTGTGAGCTTTCGGCTCACCGTTCTCTACGGGGATTTCAGTATCAAGTTCTCGGACATCCAGGTCCTTGAATAGATCAAAGAGGTTGCTGGTGTTGTGGAAGTCGTTGTTGACTGGAAAACTTGTGTTAGCCATCATTTTCTCAACAAGGGCACTATATTGGGAGCTCACCAATGTTGACAAGGTGCCAGTTGTCCATCACGCCCTGGATCAACTTTCTGCTGGGGCTGGAGGTATCATGGCATTTGGCCCAGTCATCACCCAGACGGTACGCCTCGTCCTTCCAAGCCAAGAAACTGACAGTTTCCACGATTGTGGGCTGGACGATCTCTCTTCCAGCGAAGATACCCCAGGTCAGGGCATTGGGGCTGTCGCGGGTGTTGGTGCGCAGTTCACCCGTCTTCGAGACAGCATGGTACGTAAGGTCACCATTCTTCTCGATGCGAGCGATCAGCTCGTCGATCAGGTAGGGCGGGACCAAGAGTTCGAGATATGCCTTCTGGTAAACATATCCATTCTTCGGTCCCCATCCATACACGGGATGGGAAGACTTGACACCGTTCACTGCCGGCTGGGAGTTGATTGTGAAGAGACCCTTCTGGTTCAGGTCAATGAGACTGGTCTTGATCGCGTTGGCTTCGGTAGTGATAGGAGTGTCGCTCCAGGGCAACCGGGCCAGCTTTCCTTCGAGGAAATTGACAAAGATATGAGTAAGATCCCGAAGGGATTTGGGCTCTCCCCACAGCTTGATGTTCTGCTCGTTTGTACCCTTGAGGCCGATGCCATAGCTGTCAAGTTCGCCGAAAGCAGGAGAACGAGAATCGGTCCAGCGACCGTTCGGGAATTCATCCCAGGTCTGTGTACGGGCGATGTAGGACGAGTTCCGGTTCCTCCAGAAGATCGGGCGAACATCCTCGGCTCTGCGGTTCAAGCCAAGCGATGGCCTCCAAGGCAGAGCTCTCTGAAGCGGTGTCTCTTCGGAAGGCATAAGGTTGAGTTCGTCAAGGACCAGCTGTGTGGACTGCGCAAGGTTCATTGTGTAACTAGCCAACCCCCGTTAGTCATTGTCTGACCGAGTTAGTTAAAGTAGACGTAAGAGAACACTTACAAGTGCAGGTGGTTGATACCAGCCGCAATGAGCCTCCTACACATGTCTGCAATCAGCCGCTTTCCAATGTCCCTTACAGCAGCGTCGTCGTTCTTCACAGGTTCCAGTGCTTCGAGCCAGTCCGGGGGAATCCGAGTTTTGGTCCAGTCCGATCGTCGGATGAACGCAGCGTAGGTTTGAATCGGCATAATACCAGGAATAATGGGCACATGGATGCCCCTGTCCCTGCACTTCTTGACCCAGCCGATGAAGTTGTCCGTGTCGTAAAACATCTGCGTAATGACAAACGATGCTCCAGCATCAACCTTCTCTTTCAGGTGGTCGATCAACTGCTCCACATCCGGGTTGTCATCCGCACCTTCCGGATAGCCTCCCACACCAATATCGAAGTGGTTTCCATACTTGCTCCTAATGTACTTGACCAAGTCTTTCGCATAACGGAATCCTCCATCTGCAGCTTCCCAAGCCTCCTTGTCACGCGGAGGGTCTCCACGGAGAGCCAGAATGTTGGTGCAGCCTGCTTTGTAGGCAGCCTGGAGTGCGGCGTCCACCTTCTCTTGGGGCATGTCCGTGCAAGTCAGATGCATGCATGTCTCCAAGCCATACACCGACTGGGCAACGTTGACCATCTCGCAGGTCAGGTCCGATAGTCGGCCGCCAGCCCCCCACGTGATATCAATGAAAGAAGGACCTAATGCGTGCATGCGATCCATTCTGTCGTAAAGATTCTGAACACCTTGGGCCGTCTTCGGGGGGAAGAACTCGAAGGAAATGCCCGTCCTTCCGGCCGCTTCATTTTGAGCGAGCTTCTCTTTGATGTGCATGGCGAAAAGTTACACTAGTTGTTGGCAGAGTAGGTCAGATTCTGGTCCGTGACAAAAGTGATGAACCGGCAATTCAGAAGCCAGAACAACGGTTGTCGAGGTAGTAAGAAAGTTGGACTTACACGTCCCAGGCCACTGCAGGAGAATAGGATTACTCGGAAGCAGGTATCATACACGTCCTGCTTTCAAACGCAGTTCAGGTACTGATGTCGTGACTTTGTGGCTCACCGGTTCCACCAGGGACAGCAAGACCACTTATAAGGGAGGGAATACGGGGGGGGGTAAAAATCAAATTTTATATGAAGCAGCACCTTGTTAAACTCGGAAAACCCCGTAGGCAACAAAAACGACGGACAAGAGAGAGGAGGAGAAAGAAGAGGAGCAGCAACGAAGTAATCGAAGCCAGTGGAAAAGGTGGGGTCTGCTTTTAAGCCGCCGGTGTGATTCAGTCGGACGAGTTGGAATCCATCCAGCCAGCGGCCAAAGAGGGGGCCGGCCTTCGGAGATGGTGGGCCGGCACGTGCCCCGGTCTGACTGTCCCTTCTTATTAATGGTTCTTCCCGCAATCATGACTAGTAAACTACTCTTTGTAGTTATCTACTCTCCCTTCGGTAAATTCAGGGCAGGCAAGGGATGGTTTTGCTGGTCTGGCTGTAGAGTCAGGCCAATACACAGCCCTTTCTTTGCAAAGGACTTACTTGGTCAATCTACTACGAGTTTCAATTTGATACGGAAAGATCCTTCGTGGTTTATCTATTCTTCAGTGTCTTACTATAGATAGTTACTATTTCTCCGCCGGTTCGGAGTCTAACCTCCCGCGTCCCGAAAAACACCGAACGAGGAAGAAAAAGAAAAAGAAATCTTAAAACCCGAAAACAACAATTATTGCTACATCAAAAGATTGTCTAAATACTCAGGTAGGATTAGGGACTTCAAGCTATTCGGAAAACCCCATTATCGATCTTGATTATGGTGGTTACTTTGTTAGATAGCATGATAGTATTAGCAGATTACTATTGTTAGCAGAACAACAGTCTCAGAATATAGTTCTGATTGAGTCACTCCGCCAACAGTCTAGAAACACTTCATTTCACGCCATACTACTACTATTGCCAAACATCTTCAGATCATTCAATCATCGTTTAATTACAATGAGTTAAACTACAATGAGTGCAAGTTTATTGGACAGGAATTAGCTTGCTGTCTCTCCTACTGTCAGCGGCATAAGGTGCACATCTAGGATACTCTGCGCAACAAATCATCATCCATCAGTGGCTGCTGGTCTTGGTCGAATTAGTGACCTTGAAAATACCTTCAATTAGGCCATTGCAGGGCCAACCATGATCATATCCAATAAGATTACAGAGATTGTGATCGAACAGCTAATTCTGCATTACGACGCGAATATGTCTGATGGTTGCTGAGTGCGCCTGTGCCCTCGTGCAAGAGCATACCAAACTTTGCAGCTCTAACTTGAGCTTGGGCAGCACATCATACATGCCTAAGCTCCATGACAACTGCTCACGTCTTGCTGATTTGGGCGAAGTTTATGAGGATTCTCCGGCAAGGCCTACCGAAATATAGTACTAACTGCGGTTCATATATCTAGACCACTATATCAGGCTAATGGCCAGCTCCAAGGGGCAAAGGACCACCTTCATAATATATATATGGCTTCTTGTGAACGCAATACAATCTTGCTAGTGTTACTAGGTTTTAATGTACGTTCTAATGACATGTTTTGACAAGAATTAGCATCGAATATTGCAGATTTCAGTGTTTATCTCTTCCAAAAAGTCTTCTATGACTCCATACTGTCTTACAAGACAGCAAGCCTATCTGTAACACCTCCGCTATTAGTTCCTAATATGCCATGCGAAGCCACAGTAGAGCAGTAGATGAGCTGTGAGTATTCCTAACAAATACTATGTGATCGTGTGCTTCACTATCACTCAGCTGAGATTTTCAGGCTAATTGGCAAGCTTCTCAATTAGCTGCCATGCTTCAAACAGAAATTTGTGCTTTTGCCAAAAGTCAAGTACAGGACTAGCGCAAAGGAAGATGTCCTAGATTGTTCGATACATTCTAGTTTGCAGAGAACGACACCAAGAACGCTGAAGTACCTGCCTGCAATCCCAACTGCATACTTGAAACTACAACTAATGCGAAACTGCGGAGATAACCGTCTGCCATGGCTCCTATCCTTGATGTCTTGCTTCCGAGTACACTGTCAGTATAGGGTACCTATTTTTGGCATTCAGTTCCCTCGCTAAACCAGGTCAACGTCTTCACCCATAGTGGTACATACCAAT